GTGCACCCTGACTGGGAGATGCTGCTGGGCCTCGGGTAGCTAAATGAACAGACTGCTTTAATTGCTGAGACCGTCTAATTGGCTCCCACGGTGAGGCCATCACTCATGATAGACTATTTATCCTGGTCTTATCTCTGGAGAAGGGCATGGTTGGATTGGTGGCGTGATAGTAAAGGGAGGAGGGAAGAGTCTGCCATGCTGGCAGAGTTAGAGGAGGAGGCAGGGATCCAACCTGCCCCCCAGCCTAATCCTTCACTCAATCAGGATGGGGGGATCAGAGGTGACGTATAGTCTGAGCCTAGTGGCTTATATCCATAAATAATGAAAACCGACCCCCAGCCACCATTTTAATTGTGTCTAATGCTTGGCATGGCTCTCCGTCCCCATCCCTGTGTTTCATCCCCCTGCTCTATCCCTTAATCCTGCACACATGCATTCACACTCATTTAAAGAGGAACTTTAGAAATTGGAGAGGCAACTGTAGCTGTGCTGAGCCAAGCTGGCAAATGAGATGTTCCTTTTATTATAGCTTAACGAGATGACTTGAGTGTGAGCATGGCTTCAGCGCTCAGCTGAGTGGCCGGCACCCTTGAAATGCGACTGACTGCCAGCGAGCTTGTGCGCTGAGTAGAGCTGGTCAGCGCGGCTGTCTGCTCTCCCTGTGTTCGGCCATCATTAGCCAACCTGCTGCCTGCCTCTACACTGCTCCATTCCACGTCCTGACTCTGTTACATCGTCTCAAACCATGAGAAACCACTCAAAGCCAGGAGATGAGTGGACCCTGACAGATGGCCGAAGCACACCCCCTCCTTTTTTTGTGTCCAGCAATTCCCTTTCAGTCAGATCAATCTGTAGCTCCACCCTGCACTTTTAACACGCCTCACTGCCTGACAAGCATCACGCTTAATATAGGAGGGATGGGTAGCAAACTTAGAGGAAGAATAGGGAAGGATAATCCATCTCTACCTTCTCCAAACCCCCCACATGAGCATTGATTTAATGCATTTGCATACTCTAAAACAATGAATCAGTCTGTTTTGAAAAATGGAGGCCTTTCTTATAGATAAAATACAGATTGATTGGAAAAGGGGAGAAAGAGGGAATGACAGCAAAGTTCCACAGGTCGGAGTTAAACTCATTTACTCATCAACTTCTATACAATCGGACTTTTTGCAATCTGTTTTTGAGTGATGTTAATAAACTGTGACGAGGTATCAGTGTGAAAATGAATATTCTCTGTGCTGACAGAGAATAATTACAGTCTCAGTTGCCTGCAGTCTGCCTGCGAGCTGTGGTTGTTCCGGCAGGAGTTTGTTGGAGGTTGTGGATTATTCACCACAAACACACCAATCTCTTCCTAACTTTGTACTGGATGACAGACATCATGCTAATGGAGCAGACTAAGCTGGGTTGGTCTGTGTTCTCCCCTATCTGTCTCTATGGCAACCTCAATAAGAACCATTACTTGAGGAGGAGGACATTAATATAAAGTTCAAATGTTTGCAGCAACATCAAGGATGAGTAATGTTCCTCAGAGACATAAACCATCTTGTTTATGTTGCTTGCTGATGTATAAATAGACATGTATCACCATGTTTTAACCCTTGAATTATGTGTGTGTGTGTGTGTGTGTGTGTGTACTGTGTGTGTTAAGTAAATGTGTTACATCAGTTCCTCCTGACTGTTCTAATGGGGGCTGCCAGTGTAGTCCAGATATGGGGCCCAGCATAGGAAACTGTCCCTTCTATTTTGTCACAAAAAAAAGAAAAGGTTTTGTTAAGTAATTGAGTTATTATTTTTTCAAGCAGTGTCTTGAACATTTTGCCTTCAGTGACTGTTGTCGTGAGGTAAGTGTAAACTCCTAACACACCATTTCTTCTTTTTTAGGCTCATCAGCACCTGCCTGCTCCTCCACAGGTGCCCAACCAGTAAGGAGGAGCCGCGAGAACAGTGACAAGAACTCGCTCCTTCAGCGGCTTGCTGATTGTGAACATTGCCAATTATGCTGAATGGGGCAGCTGGCCAAGCAGGAAGCACCCGGTCTCTGCCAGAAAGATCCCTGTTGAGTCCTTCAGATAATATGGGACTGCTTCTTATTCTAGGACAGTTACATCCAGGATCACAGCTTCCCTGCACATTCGTTTTATTTGTTTGTATTTCATGTTATTCTTCCCAACACAACATTAACATCATACACGCATTATACAGGGAGGATTTCAAAGGGAATCAAAAGGGACATTATAGTTTATACTGTATGCCAGCTATCACAACTACTCAAAATGCATTCATCCTGATCTCTTCCTATTTAAATATCATGCTGCTAAAGATGGTAAATCAAAGATACCCAGCTGCTGCGCACCCGTTCCTAACAAAAGCGCAGCCCCTTGTGTTTACTACATTTCTCTGCAGGGGTTAGTTGTTTTTTTCTTCTCGGTTAAAATGACTTTGGCAGCTAACAGATTTTGAATGTAATGTTTATGTGCAGCTTGTGAACTCAGCAGCCAGCAGGTATATATACCTGTCAATGGCAAGAGCTCTACTGCAAGGGGAAAGCTTTCATTGCTCACACCAGCTCCTCAATAACCCAATTGTAAGAAAAAGATAAACAACTGCTGTTTCACTTCAAACAGTAATGTCACTTGGCATATTATACTCGGTGCAACTGGAGTGCTTACTCAACCAGTTTTTGTGCTCAACACGAATTGTGCTTAACTCATGAATATTTCATATTCTTATCCTACAATACATATACATTTTTTCTTTGAGTCTGGATTTATTAAAATCTCTGAACCGCTTGTTTCATCTTAATGAAGGCCAACTGTCCATGAGCAGCTGAACATTCATGAGATTAGCATAATCAATGGCCCTAAGTAGCTGTATAAGACTACCTGTTCTGCTCCATTTGTGGGCTATAATCATTCACTAAAATGTCACTACATTTAAATGAAGTCTTTCAAGTCACTCCATGAAATTGTAACAGACATATCAGTGTCAGTAATTTTATTAGAGGACTTTAAACAATTAGTACAATAATACAGCTGCCAACACAGTGTCATCAGTGGCGTACTGTGACTGAAGTAATGAAGAAATGATTTGACTTGAGGTTTGAGAGTAAAAAAAGAAGCAGTCTGTCCAGGGGACAGGAGTGTTGGGGATAGATGAGAGAAGATTATACAGATGGTAATGTGAAAGGGTTATCCCTGTGTAAAGACCCTGCTGTCAGAATAAGATTATATTCATATAAACTACTCAACTGAATGATTCATATGCCAACAAATTAAACAAAATGTTTTTATTTTCTTCATTTAAATCAATCTTTTGATCAAATGTACACTGATCAAGTTTAGAGGCATTATATTTCTCAAATCGCGCAAGTCTTTACTTCATTGTCATTTATTTAGAGTTGTGTCAATTTTACCTCTGGTTTTGGTACCTACTCCTGAGGGAAAGATCTGTCTTTCGCTGCTGTATGATCCACTATGTTCCCTGGATAGCCTCTAAATGTGGCTTTCTGTTGAGAGGTGCTGAGCAGGTAGTGTACAGTGAATTGTTACAGTCTGAGAACAGCTGCCTGCCACAACTGAATACAAAACCAGAGAGTTTAAAATGTACGCATCTTACAAAAATCTGTAAAGCCTGGTGATAATTCTCTCTAGGCTCTTTTCTTCCTATGAAGTAAACAAAGAAGTCTAACGGCCCGTACACACAGCAGCTTTTGGCGATTTGTCCACCGCTTCCAGCGCGTCTCCGCCCATTGACTTTGAATGGGGATGACCTCACTTTCCCTCGCTTGTCGCCGAACTGCATTGTGGGGGGGCGACGCGAAGATTTCCAGGATTTTCAGGATTTCAAAGTTGAGCAATGTTCAACTTTTGAAGCTGAGCTGGAAGCGTCAGCCAATCAGATCCGTTTATGCAAATCTGACAGTTCAAGCGCTAGCCAATCAAACCGCGTGCAAGCTGGGAGAGCCAGACCGCAGTTCATTCTATATTCCTAACAAAAATGGAGGAGAAGTTAGTTATTGCGGTAGCAAATCACCCTATTTACTTACCGGGATACAAACCGGAGGAACCAGGCATGGAGGGAGGTGGCAGAGGCAGTGGGTGAAACTGGTAGGTTTTCGCTTGTTTGGGGATTTTATATCCAGTTTACTTCGTTGCTAGTTTACTTCGTTGCTAGCAAGCATAGACAGTATCATTAGCCAGCATGGAATGTAGCATAAAATAGCACCATAGACATTAATCTCATACATTTTCAAAATGTTAAAAGAAATAGTGGAGAAGAACCGGGGTTCTTTGCTTTGTATGTCGGGGGCGGGAGATTCATGTGATTGGTTGTTGGTCGCGAAATCCCCAAGCTTTCAGACACGCCCAGCTCCAAGGTTGTCAAGATTTTTGATAAACTGCTGTGTGGACGTACCGTAATCCAGGCGTTTCGGGGCAGAGTGTGTGGGAGAGGAACTCCCTCTGGAGCAGTGCTTCTCAAAGTGTGGTCCGCGGACCACTGGTGGTCCGTGAGCGCCCCCTAGTGGTCCGTGAGTATATTGGTAACATTTCACATTTGAAATTAATTAATTAATTTGAGTTTTCCGCACTGTCGCGGGAATATCTCCGCAATGGAGCGAGCTTAAGTTTCACTCTCAATTGCATGATATAGCCCCGCGCAACACCTTCATCACACATGTTGCCACTTGTTTGTACCATATTCAGGCAATTTGTAATCTGTTCTAGAAAAACGATGTGAATTTGGATATTTGTGAAGTTAGGTGGTCCGCGAGTGTTTTTTTATTGGTTAAGTGGTCCTTGGTATGAAAAAGTTTGAGAAACACTGCTCTGGAGGGAACTTTGGGATTTTAGCTTTTGCAGACCATTTACACGCACAACAAATTATATAAAACACACGTCAGGAAAGGGAAAACCCCAAAAGCATAATAGGGCCCTTTTTAAAAATGCTTTCTAATGCATGAGGCCCAAATTATAATCGTCAATGGTTGTACATACCCCTGCTCCTCCATCATCTCCTGGAGCTCCATACATTTGAGCTCCACCCTCCTCTTCCTCTCATGGTCCAGAATCTCTCTGTGTGGCTTTTTCACTAGTACGGGCTCAGCTTTGGGCTCCTCCTCCTCCTCTTCTTCCTCTGTACCTGGCTGACCCTCCTCACATTTAGCCTGTAGGGCTGCGGTGGGCGTCGGCCCTCCTGCTCCTGCAGCGGCTCCCGCTCCGGGCAGCACCGGCTGGGCCATCCCGTTTGCACCATCCTTAGGAGATGGCACCCTCGCCGCATCGTACATGATCGCTGAACTCTGTGGAGACAAATGATGGAGAGATCTGTCAGAACAACGCTAGGTAGCTTTATGGATATTGGCTGTTTCATATTATGCTAATGATTTTACATCCATTCATACCAAGAACACTCATTTGGGAGTTTTTTTCCATCTATTACTGAATTCTGTTCCCTGTTAATTGTGGTTTCGTGTGAGTCATTCTTATTCACAAAGCATACATTTAGCAATACAAAATGAAAATATGATTCACTTTGAAGACTGTGTTGGGCCCCGTTATGGCCCCTGAACCCTGGTTTGTCAGCCACAAAGCTGCCATCTGATGTTTTCCAACACATGCTGACCCTAAACAGCATATTTTGAATGAACAGTAAGCCACAAACACTGAAAGATGAGCGGAGATGTTAATATGTCTGGACAGGCTGCAGAGTTTCTGGCTGAATTGAGCAGTGGTACCCTTTGCAAACACTCACACACGTCAACATGGAGTACACAAATGCACACACACGTACATGTCATGATGCATTGTGGGAGACAGCGCTGGCAGTAATTTCTGCTGCATGAGTCAACAGCAGAGAAGTGCCTGGAGGCAGGTTAGGGGAGAGTGAGAGTTACATTCCTCGTTTAAAACTCCTGTCTCCTGGACCAAATTGAAGCTGTAAACCAAGGTCATGTACCAAACATGCATCACGAGAGCCAAGGGAGAATAAGAGTGGAACAAACTAAACGGCTTAAGGACACACCGACTTTAAGCAACAAAACGGGTGAGAGAAGGATGTGGAGAGTATTGATTTGAGTCTTTCAGGGGACACTCTACAGGAAAACACATTTATGTTCATGCACTGGTCAATGTTAGGAGTTTGGGCTACAGTATGTACAGAACATATTTTCCTTCAGGCTAGTTTGTTTGTTTGTAGCCTTTATTTAACCAGGTGAAGCCCCTTGAGATCAAAAGATCTCTTTTTCAAGGGTGACCTGCAGGACATTAGTTACACATGTAACATAAAAACAACAGAACAACAATAAGGATGACATACAACATAATGTACAGGGTACAGTTTACAAACTCTATTTACAGAGACAGGTACCATGAGTATCAAACGGCATGTCTCCCAGCTGAGTTTTAAAATGATGCAGGGGAACCAAAGTGCTCAGTTTTAAACATGTTTGCAGACTGTTCCAATTTAGTGGAGCTGCACAACTAAAAGCTTTCTTCCCTAAGACAGTCCTAGCACTTGGCACATTTAATAAAACAACATCATGAGATCTCAGGCAATACGTACTTTCAATTCGTCGAGAGATCAGAGAGCAGATATAAAAAGGTAGTTTACCCAACATGGCTTTATAAATGAACATGTACCAGTGACTGAGCCTCCGTACAGTTAGTGAAGGCAGACCTGCCTTGGCATACAGGGTACAGTGATGAGTAAGTACTTTACAGTTAGTAACAAATCTCAGGGCACTGTGATAGGCGGCATCTAACTTTTCCAGGCAATGGGCAGGTGCATTCATATAGACCAGATCACCATAGTCCAGCACAGGTAAAAAGGTCACAGAGCCTTTTCCTGGCCTCAAAAGAGAAACAGGACTTGTTTCTGAAAAAGAAACCTCGTCTAACCCTCAGCTTTTTTTCTTTTTTTTTAATTCTTTATTTATTTGGGGTCACATTATTTTATAATACAAGTACAGTTTTTCAAATCATATGTTTTTAGAGACCCAAAAGTGACAAATGAAATAGCAAACAAAATTAGTCAAAATAAAATAAAAACGAAAAAGTACACAGGGGTTGTTTGAAATAGCAAATGTCTACACATGTACATATGCATTCATATCAACATGCATATATGCATACAATACACACACACATACATGTGGCCATACATACACATCTATATACATTCAATCGGTGTATAGGAACAGTCAAACAAGGGATGGTCGTCTTTGGGATATGTAAATTCTCCACTTTTTCCATATTTCCTCAAATGTGTTTTCCTGTAGCCTCATTGAGAATGTGATTCTTTCCATGATATAGATTTCATGGATTTTGTCATACCAGTTGTCAAGAGAGGGGATGTCTGCTTTGAGCCATTTCTAGTTATTGCTTTTTTTTGCTGCAACAGTAAGAATTCCAAATAATTGTTTTGTTTTTAAGTTTGAGGGGATTGAATGTACGAGCCCAAATAGAAATTCATCCCAGTTTAATGGGATTTTTTCCTGTAGTATTATTTCAATTTCTACATGGATCTTTTGCCAAAAAGTTACTATTAAAGGGCAAGTCCAAAACAAATGGTAGTGATGTGCTAACTGAGAACCACATTTCCTCCAGCATCTGGGGGGGCCCTAGCTGATGTGATGACTGGGCAGGGCTGAAAAAATACCTGCTCAGCATCTTCCAACTAAACATTCTGTAGGTGCCTGAGCTAGAGATCTTCCATTGAAAAGTACAGTAGCTTGTCCAAACTTCGTCAGGGATGGTTTTTTTTGTTTCGTTTTCCCATTTGTGTTTTATATAGAAAGTATTTTCCTTTTTAATATCTTGAAGAGCTTGGTAAAGTTTGGAGATTACTTTCATCCCTGTGTCTGATGTGTATGCACTGGTGAAAACTATTAATAAAGGGTTTTCAAGGGCCTTCTGGCTGTCTGACAGGGAACTATTTAAGTAATGGCGTACCTGTAGAAATCTAAAAAAATCACCGTTATTCAACCCATATCGTTTTTTTAATGTTTGAAAATCAAACATAGTTCCTTTGCTGAAAAATGTGCAATATGAAGTAAGGCCATGTTTGGCCCAGCCTTTAAATGTTGTATCTAGCTTGCTTGGGGTGAAATCAAGATCATGTGAGCACCATCTTAATATCTTCATTTCCTCCAGCAAGTCACTCCTGGTGATGGCCCTCAGCCATAGTTTTAAAGAGAGGTTGATCCAGCGGTTATCTTTTTCCAGTAAGTTTTTAATATGTTTTTTATCCCCTAACCTTGCCTCGATTGGTACTTCTCCTGATACATTATTCTCAATTTCTTTCCATCTAGCTCTGTAGTCTGGCTTGCACCAGCAGAACAAGCTTCTTAATTGGGCTGATATATAGTAGTCCTTCAAGCAGGGGAGCGCTACTCCTCCCTTGTTTTTTGCTAGTTGAAGAGTACAGAATCTAATCCTTGGTTTCTTCCCTTGCCAAATGTACCTTGATATGGTTTTATCCCATTCGTTAAACTGCTTGTCTGTGATTTCAATTGGTAGATTCTGGAAAAGGTATAAAAGTCTAGGTAGGATGTTCATTTTCACTGATTCTATTCGAGATTCAAAGCTCAGCACTGGGATCAAGTTCCATCTATTTATGTCTTCTTTTATTTTCTGATTTAGAGGGTTGAAATTTAGTGTATACAAGTCCTCTGAATCTTTAGAGATGTTTACTCCCAGATATTTTAAGTGGTCCAGTTCCCAATTAAGAACAATGGTCGAGTTTATATGTTGGCTTGGCTTGTAATTAAAGCTCAGTATTTGGGTTTTTGTTATATTGAGTTTGTACCCTGAGACAGAACTATAAGTATCCAAAAAGGTCAGTAAACTCAAGAATGATTCATCTGGGTTTGACAGGTATATTAATATATCATCAGCAAATAATGATAATTTATGTTCCTGGCCATATACTTTTATGCCGGTAATATTGTTATTTTGAGTAACCCCCAAACTCAGAGCTTCGATATAAATTGCGAATAACAGAGGGCTAATTGGACATCCCTGTCGTGTCCCTCTCTCAAGGTTGAAAGAATTTGATATGGCTCCATTTATTTTTATTCTTGCATAAGGGTTGTCGTACAATGCTTGAACAGTATTAATAAATGTCTTGTGAAAGCCAAACTTTTCAAGAACTTGGTATAGGAATTTCCAATTAACTCGATCGAAGGCTTTTTCTGCATCAAGGCTCAAAAGTACTGCCTGGAGTTTGTTTTTGGATATATGTTCAACTATATGTAGAGTTCTGCGGATATTATCTTGAGTTTGCCGTTGTTTGATAAATCCTGTCTGATCTAGATTTATTATCCGAGGGAGGATTTCTTCGAGTCTTTTTGCCAAAATGTGGGTAAAGATCTTATAGTCTTGATTTAGCACACTTATTGGACGATAACTTCCACAGTCACATTTGTCTTTCCCTTCCTTTGGTATCAGGGAGATTACTGCTTCGCCCCATGAGGGGGGAGCTATACCTGTCTGAAGCACGTGGTTAAAAGCATCCCTCATTGTTGGGATCAGTAGATCCATCATTTCCCTGTACCATTCAGAAGGGAAACCATCTGGGCCTGGGGCTTTATTGGGTTTTAAATCAGCGATTGCCTTTTCGATTTCTTTTCCCGTAATTTCTCTAATTAAATTGTGATTTTGCTCATCCCTCACTTTAGGAAAAGTGATCAAGTCAAGGAAACTCCTGATGTTGGTTTTATCTATTTTAGGCTGTGTGTATAGGTTTTTATAGAAACAGACAAACGTTTGTTGTATGTCTTTTAGATTACTATGTATAATACTTGTTTCAGGGTCTTTTATTTTGTAAATTGTGTTTTCTACCTGTTGTTTTTTTAGTTTGTAAGCCAATAGTTTTGCTGATTTACCTCCTACCTCATAGTAACTTTGTTTTAGAAAGATCATTTTATTTTTAATGTCGTTAGAGAGGATTTCATGGAGTTCGTTCTTTTTTTTATCTATTTCCATTTTAGTTTTTGTATTAGGGTTTTCTTATGTATATTTTCTAGATGTTTTAGTTCTGTTTGAAGCTGATTTGTTTTCTCTTTTCTTTGCTTATTTATGTTTGAGGAATAGCCAATTATTTTTCCTCTTAGGACAGCTTTACATGCATCCCACAAGATTATTGGGGACACTTCTCCATTGTCATTGTCGTTCAGATAATCTTTTATATCGGTCCTGATTTGAGGCCTAATTTGGTTAAGAATTCCTGTGTTCAATCTCCAGATTGTGCTTTTCCTTTCTAGTCCTAGATTTAGTGCCCTCAGCTTTTTAAGCAGGTTAT